CTCGATCAGAAATTATAATGTTGTAAATGCGAGTTTTTAACTGTTCTCATGTATATCAAAACTACATACAAAAAGAAAAACAATAAATTAACAGATAAGTTTATTTATATTTCATCTATTGGTAAAGAGTGTAGACCCAACTAGGAAATATATTCAGGTTTACACAAACAACTATAATTCATAAAGATCTTTAATTTAAAAAACCAGTGTCGAAACTCAAAAACCCACAATTAGATTTATCTTGTAGATTTTGTAGATTTACATCTAGTTATAATATATAACCAATAATTTCCACTTTCAATTTAATTTTTTTACTTCATAAATAAATAATTAACTGATTGTTAGACAATTTAACACAGCAACAGTAGATTACAGATATCACGTATTAAATTCCTGTATGTTTAGAACATTCCAGAACTAATTCACTGCTAAGAGAGTCTTTCTATCTGAAGGAATTATTATGACGGGTTAGCACTATTCGTCAGTCGTCGTCAGAGAGTGGTTCATATCGTGGGTCCGAGGCCGTGGCGCTATTAGCAGCTGGTGGCGGCCTTGTTGCTTGTCCGGGTGATGATCTTGGAGGAAGTTGTTGTCCCATTCTGTATCCCTGATATAAATTTGGATCAGCATGTGGGGCTGGGGACTCGGTTTTGTGTGAATGTGCAGAATCTGGCCGAGCAGTCTCATCTATAACCATTTCACCAGATCCGGGAGAATCCGGCATATCATTACCGGCAGTCGCTTCATCCGGTTTGTATCTCTTTCTGAGAGATTCCATTCCAACGTCAGCAGCTGGGGAGCCTCGGGTCTCTATTTCCAGAGGTCGTTTGTTAGGAGGTCCCATTGAGACTCCAGAAGGTGTTGGAGATTTTCCAGTTTCAGCTCCCTTATCATTCTTCATAACCTCAGCAATTTTGTTTTTTACATAATCAAAGACGACCCCACTACTCTTAGCTGCAGCTGGGTCAACTTCATGAGGCTTGCGCTGAGCAGCCGCAAAATATCTAACCATAGGTTCAGCTCCCGGGTAATTGTAATTAGGAGTAGACCTAGGGGGATCACTGCCTGGAGGAGATATTGCCTCCAACATAGGTCGACCAGGAGGTTTATCCGGTCTGGGAGAAGCATTCTGTGCAACCCGAATGATCTGTCTCTCATCAGAGAGTTGGGCAACGCCTCCACTAGGTGGGCGAGGAAGACTTCCTTGACTGGGAGGGCGTGGCATAAAGTTAGGATCTGAATACTGTTTACGCTTCCAATATTCCAAGGATTCCGCCTGGGTAGAGGGACCAGGATAAGGTGATGTTCTATGCTTTTGAGCCTCTTCCTTAAACATGTTTTCATGCTCAGGATGAGAGTTGGTCATTGCTGGTGAGCTGCGCATCGGCATTGACCTGTCCTCCCCTTCTGTCTTAACGCTTGGGCTCCGACTTGTCTTCTTACTCGGAGACTCCTTACCATCCATGAAGGATTGAGGTGGTGGGCGTGAAGGCATGGAGTAGGAAGCTACGCTAGCGGCAGCAGAACTCATAGGAGTATTTGAGAACTGGACGGGGGGATTCTTGTTGATTTGATTGGTCACAATCATATCAATTAGACGCTTGGTTGTCATACTTTGATCCAATGCTTTGTATGCAGCAGAGGTTTTGGGGTCCATACGATTAGGATCAGGCATAACATTAAAAGAATCCCTTCCCACCCTGCTCCTGTCATCAAATTTTCCAACCCTGTTGTCATAACCAGCTTTAGCTAAATCTTGGGACATACGTGCTGAACTTGGACCACCTATCTCAGTTCTGGTGACAGTCAGTGAAGGATTTCCTCTATGATCATTTTCCCGCATTTTAGCCTGCTGACTTGCTATTTCTGCAAAGTTGGTCAGATTGGTTGTTGGGTATTCCGGTCTGGATGTGGGCATAGCAGGTTGCTTAGTGATTGATACTTCAGGCTGTCTGGATATTGTATGAATCTCAACTGAGCTCCTGGGAAGTCCACTGGTAATAGATCCAGGTCTGGGTGAGGGTACAGATGATGGTGGTCCTGTATGCCCTCTACTGGGTGGAAGGGTACGGGGTGGAGAACTTCTACCAGTCTCTCGGCCCGTAGGCATGGATACCGGATAAGCAGAGAAAGCTTGCCTAGCTCTTGGATCCATAGCTGCTCTATGATCTAGTCTTGGATCATGAAGATCTGCCCTAGGGTCTCCACGAGGAGGTTCTCTAGAGGGCATGTCAGCTTTAGGATCAGTTCTAATTCCACTGTAGGGATTTGATGGGACAACCATCCTCTGCGATCCATAGGATCTAGGATCAAATCTGGGTTCATTTTTCATATCAACAACAAGAACATCTCTGCCTCGGTTATCAATGCTGCGAGGAAAAACTCCTCTTAGTTCATCATTCTGATCCTTTCTTGGTAATGTTTGAGCAATTTTATAATCATTTTCTATCACACTTCTTGAACTGCTACCTCTAGAATCATGGCTTGGAGGACGAGCATAAGCAGAGTATGCTGATGCCTTCTTATGCATATCCATCATAGTTTGCTGATGAGATCTTGTTTGCTCCGGGGTGTATGCAGCAGCAGTGCGGCGATCAGTGTACACTGGAGTTCCACTGGTGAGCGAACCCCTAGGATTTTGATGAGATTTCATCTGATTAAGATCAAACCTGCCGGTTGAATGTTGTGGGAGCGGAGGTATAGGTTGACCCCGTGTTATAGATCCAGATCCTTCCATTCTACCAGCATGAGATGGAGGTGGGGGGATGGGAGCAGAGCGAAGAATATCCTGACGAGGATCGGGTCTATGCATCTTATGACTTGGTGAGTGTATAGACCGACCATTATACATCTCTTGTAACTTCAGGTTTCCTATAGCCATGCAATCTTTATGCGTAGTTTTGTCCTTGTCACCATGAGCTTCTGGAGGCTTTTCTCCCCTAGAGGCTGGAGTAGGAACAAAACCAGGAGCTCCTCGGTTATGATTCTCAACATATGAAGTTCTAAAAACCGGTTCACTAGGACCAGGATGTGGAGATGGTGAAGAACGATCACGTTTAGTTGTTGTGAGGTTGAGAACAACTTCTTCAGCGTGTGTTGGAGCAGAGGTGGCGATTTGACCATGACTAAGACCACCCTGAGATCTTACATCAAACTCCTGACTGGGTAAACCAAGGGTTGGCTTTCCATAGATTCCATGTCCTTGAAGCATTGGAGGATCTTGAATCAGATCCTTGATCGTAGAAACTTCTCCGGTTCTATGCTGAGTAGAAGGTTTACTCAGGGTCTGATCTATGACTGTGTTCATGATATCCTTGACATAAATTGTTTTTGTCATAGGCCCGGCACCGGCCTGAGAAGCCGGAGAAGGGGTAACCGTGACTGGGAACACTTTCCCTTGAACCCGTCCTGCTCCTCGATCCTGCTCCAGGGTCTCATCAGCACTAATCGTAGCAGCACTATCATATCCCTCCTCAGCTTTCTTTCCAGCTTCATCAGACTTAGTAGCTGCAGTTTGGGTAATAGGAACTGCAGGAGTTTCAGGAGCTTTTAGATCTTAAAAATAAATAAAATTAAAAATCAAACATTTTTTAGTATTAAAGACTGTAGAGTGTAGACCGAACTTAAGTGACTTTTAATTTAAGACAGAGTAGCATGCCCATTTCACTTCAGTACCCTTCAAATCTTTGCCTGTGATCAATGGGAGAGGTCGTTTTTCCATCTAAAGAGTGTTAAACTCGGTACATTTTTCGATCTTGAAAGTTACTTATAATAAAGATAAAGAGGATAAAGAAACCATACCTAGAATTTGTTTCTTTAAGATATTTCACTCAAACAACCGTTTAAAAGGTACAGTAGTGAACAGGCGTTTTTTATTATCATTATTAGAATGTCGTTTACAGTCCCTTACAGATGTTAAGAATGTTCTTAATTGTTAATTTACCTTTGTTCTGGTCCTGATTCTTGTCCTGGTTGTTCTCGTCCTCACAAGAGGACGTACTGCTTCCAGACTCCTCGTCCGACGACAAGGACGGCTTCTCCGAACCTTGAGGACGGTTTGCCTGAAAAAATAGAATGGTCATATATGAATAAGAAATTTGAGCATTCTTCTAAAAAAATTCCTTTGTGAGGATTTTAGGATTTTTTGTTTTTGTTTCATATTAACAACAAATATAATCCTTAAGAATTAAATTAGCCTTTTAAGTCAAATATTATCAATTATATTTTCGTAACTCTGAAAAAACAGAAAAATAGACACTAAATTACCTTTTTATACTCTTGAACAATTTTATCAAGATTTTCCTTCTTCCGCATACTGTAGAAGTACTTCTTGCATTGGTCGCCTCGCTTCTCCGGGATGAGGGCGGCCACCTTGTCCCAATGACTTCCATGCTGTCGAAGACCCTGCTTCAAGAGATCAACCTCCGCCTCGGTCCAGTTAACCTCCTCCTTATCCGCCTTACGTTCTCCCTCCTCCAACTGTCCTATCCGCTTGTTTATCCGACCGAAGCAGGTTGTACAAACTTGCTTTGTACCAGATGGTATTTCTAAAATAAAAATCTAATTTTAAATGGATCTTAAAATAGTATAAGATTTATTTCATTTTCATGTAAGTTCTAATAAAATTGATTAAAAGTCAACTTTTACAATTTTTAATTAAAAATTTGATCATTCTTTTGATTTTTGTTTTTAGAATTCACAAAATAAACTTACGTAGTTCTGTAATGAGGTTGTCCTTAGTAGCTTGAGGAAGTTCCTTCCATTTATGTGGAAGATGCCGCAATTTTTTCCCTTTCCCAGCAGTTGAGCAGGACAGGAGGGGACACTTACTCCGCAGGGTTTTACACCAACAGTTGTTGCAGACGCGCGAGTTTTCCGTTACCTCCTCCTCTTTGAGACCAAGTTGACCTGCACGCTCTTTAGGTACTGCGCGCGAACTGTCCACCGTCGTCTTGCACACAACACAGGGATGGGGACCGCATTTGACTAAAATAACAAAATATTAAAAATGGAAAAAAAATTTCTGCAAGATTAACATGTAATAATGTTTATTGTATCCGCCCCCCCCCCCGTACAATATGTTTTATCTTCAGTATTAAATATAAATGAAATTAGGTTCTTTTCTTTATCTTTCATCAAACAAAGAGGGAATTAAGGGAGGGAGGGATATAGTTAGTAAAATGGGCCGGGGGTCTACTGAGAATAGTATTTTGTGTGGACAAAAAGGTTCAAAAGCAAAGTTAGCTATTCTTGTTTTTTAGCTTTGAATTTGGCAGCAGGTAATAGTAACGATTAACACCCGTTATACAGTTAAATGAATATTCACTTTGCTTCCAGAATCTATATATACACGTTGCTTGCTTGCTTGCCTGTCTGTCTGTATCCAATAAACGTCAAAACGGCTGAACCGATCGGGCCAAAATTTGGTGCGGGACCTCGCATGACCCCAGGAAAGGTTTATGAATGTTTAAAATTAAAAAATATTGTGCTCAAAAGTTTTTTTTTTTTATGAAAATGCGCGAAAAAATATTATGAAATCCGCTAACTTTTTTTTATACTGCTCACAGATAAAGCCACATTTAAAAGTTGAAATAGAAGATGGGCCAAAAGCCTGGTATGTCTAAATTCTAGAAGCAAAGCGAAGAAGGAATATTACGCTAGGATTCACAGCTAAATTTGTTTGACAAGCATGGAAGCCATTTACAGCTCTGCTCTTCTCCAATTTAATTTTGTGAACTGTCCCGTTTATAGTCCATAAATATACTGTAAAACTAAAATTCAGTCCTGTGCTTCAATTGAACTTGATTTTTCAGTGATATATATAAAGTAAAAACTTTAAAATATTTAATATAACAAAACATACCAATGGTACAATCCGTGCAGTCCCTCACAAAAACCGACCCTTTTTGCAAATTTTTTATTTTAAAAAGCAAGGAATGTAAAACATAAATTACATTTTTCGACTTTTTTAATAATAAAATATATACTTCTTACCTTTGAGCAAAAAATCTAAATGTTTTTTTTCAAGTTTATTTAAAAATGTTATATTTAAAAAATGGGAAATTTTTTTGAATGAAAAATTGTTCCTTTGACAGGACCAAGGAAAATTTTACAGTGCTTGCAGTCATCTAATCAATAAGAGATATTTTAATCATTTTTATCCCTGAATAGACAGATTTCACAATTTTTCTGAAATATCCAGCTTTTAATCTTCACCTTTTATAAAGGGATTGACTCAAAATCGTAACCCTTAGATATTTCAAAATATGAATTCTGTTTGATCAAATAATCTATGTTTGAAATATCAAGGTGTACACCATTATAAGTTAGAAAATTTGACTTTGTTGCAAAGACTCACTTCCTGTATGTATGTTTTCATTAAATCGTCATCTTTTTTATCAATATACGGCAATTTAGATGTCACAGTTCTCCCATTTTATTATCTCATCTATTTTTCGTAAATTTAAAGAAAATGAGTTTTTGCGGAACTGAAATTTTCCAATCCCTATATCTTACAACCTGAAAGTCTAAATCATAGACTATTTTATCTAACGGAATTTAAAGTTTGAAACATCAAAAAGTATACGACATCGGGTTGCAAAAGTACAGGGATTATAAAATCAGGGTTTATGACAAAAACCCTGATTTTGTTGGGTTTTACGGTTGAAAAATAAAAGAAATAGCCCAACGTATGCTGTTTTGCCATTGTTAGTTTTAGATTTCTCAGTTTAGAATGAGTAAAATATCCCTATTGTTATGGTATTGCTCCAATCATAGAGATAAATCTGAGATCTTACACAGTTCTTGATCTGAAACATAATATTTATATATATTTAGAAAAAAAATCAAATCATGATTTGTATATATTGTAAATCTCTTTTTTGATTGAATAATAAATTGATTATATTTATATTTCAGTCTTGAAACTTCACATTTTATTAAAGGAAAATTATACTAAACATAATGTTTCACGCTTCATGACGATCCTCAGTAGTCAAAATTACGTGGACAGTCCCTTTAAGATGGAAAGTCAATAATGTCGATATTTCCTTTATAAACAATTAATACCTGGAATTGCTGTCCATTTATTGACCCTGGTCCTCTGAACACCTCCCCTTCTCCTTTAAAATGTGTCCTTTGTAAAACTTTTAAATTCATTTTAAATTCGTTTTAATGTAATAATATTAATTATTTCTTTTTCATATTTGGTTATGTTGCGTAATGCAGAAACTATGCAGATAAAATGCTGAATTTTCATAGATTTAGGGGATTGTACAGTGTACCGTGTACGTACACTATACATATAATTTCAAGCGACCCCAAGAGCCAGATTCCCTTTCACAAAGTCACCTTACAGAAATTCCACACTTAAAATATATTAATTTTAGATAAAGTGATAACCAAAAAGACCCGGAATTAATTTATGATTAATTAGACGACTTTACAATCGAATTTTACAAATATGATTTGTGTAACGATAATAACAAAAAAATGCCCTATTCCTGTCCATTCCGAAATGTGGTCTGCCTTTATTGTACGTTTCGTTTAAAATTACCAGAAATATATATGTAAAGTCGTCTGATTAGCCGTGAATTTTGGTTATGACTGTAGAAAAACAAGAAAATCTGTGTCATTTTTTTAGCTATAAAACGGGTTAAAAGGGTTGTACATTGTAAATCGAACATGGAATTCTTTAAAAAAAAAGATTCACTTAAAATAACTCTTTGATTTTACCTTTAGAATCTATTGTATATTTAGAAAGATCTGATTCTGTTTTTAAATCCCAGCTGTATTGTTTCCGTTCTATTGATAAACAATCATTAAATATTAAACAAAGAACATTTTTATTTCAGTTTTTTTACTACCAATAAAGTTTATCATAAAATAGGAGAAAGTAATTTTTTCATAAATTATATGTAAGGTAAATATATAAGGTAAATTAAAACAAAGAACCAACAAAATTTGCTACATTTCTTCTTGAGGTTTTATCTTAAAAATCTCAGGTGTTTTTTTTTTAATTTGATTTGTTCCTCCTGGTGGTTTATCAGTCTCATCAATATCTTCAGAAGACGACCTTTAAAATAATTTTGTGTTAGTCAAATAGATTATCAATTCAAGTACAATAGGTGGCAATGGAACAAAGAAAAAATATACTTTTTACTTTCTTACAAATTTCCGGGGGCGTCCAACCAAACTGTTCAAGGAAGGGGGGGGGGGGGGTAGAAGGGCGCATGCATCCCCTCCAATGTCAAATATTTTGAATTCTATCCAACCCTTACCTTGAACAAACACCGCTGATGTTGCAACCCATATTGATCTAAAATTAAAAAATTTGAATGGAAACAGTAAACTATTTTTTAAATTAAAATTATCTTTCATGTTTTCAAATATCTCATTTATCTAAAAAGCTATATACATATATACTTATAAGAAAGGGTTGAAATAATCATATTACACCAATCAAGTTTGCTTCTTTTACTCTTGTGTGTAGCAAAAGAGGATACGAAGTCGCAAAAACGTCACAGAAATCTGGCTATTAGTTATTACCACCCATCCCTATCTAGTACAACATACTTATAGATATTAAAAAATTATATTTGTGTTTAGTTCCGGAGTAGTATATTTTATACGTATAGAATGGTTCCGTTTATTTAACTATCAAATTTAAGCTTTACCTGGTTTACCTTTCCACCCTCCTTCTTAGACAAATATAAACGAAGGGCTTATAATTGAAAATTAAACATGTAGCGCGGCGTCGATTTACAAATCTCTAGTTTTAAAAATGTATTAATAAATGCGACGTGCAGAAACCGAAACATTAACCCTTTGTGACTATATTAACCTTCCCTAACTAAGAATAGTATAATCACGGAAGGTTCAACTGGAGGGGTGGAGGTGGTCAAGAAGTGCTATGGGGGTGGGGGGATAGTTTTAAATCCGAGATAAGTAAAAACATTTTACTTATTCTGATTTCTGTGTTTCCTGGGATTCAGTTAACAAAAGTCTAAAATCCCAAACGTAAAGACGACTTTTAGATTAAAAGAAAGAACATTTAGATTTCCTTTATTTCAACTTGGATGCATTTAAGAGAATGCATTCTCACTCACAAAGAATAAGATTTCAAAGACTTTACAACTATTTAGACTGTCTATTTTTATATATTTATGATTCCCTGCGACGTAAACGTGTTTTTTCTTTGTCCAATCAAAGGCTACTAAAAGTCTAAATTTAAGGCAGAAGGCTTAACCAAGGGGAGGAAGGCCAGCCACAACAACTTCTTGTCCGAGCCACATTCTCCTCATTTCCTCGTCCGAACTACCTCGAAATCCTCGTCCTTCATTTATTTTCTGTTGAACAAATCTGGCCAAGTTAGGGCATAAAATATGGATAGACTAAAGTATTGCAATGATTAAATTATGTTTAAATCTTTAGAGACATGAGAATGATGTCAAACTTTATTTAGGTAAAATTTAAAACTCTTCTGCCTCCGTAATGGCCTACCTTCGCGATATGAAATAAATAGCAAAATATTTGGCATACCTATGCCAACCATTTTCCCCATGAAACCACCCGGAAAAAAATCTATGGTTTTCACTATAATTAAGAAAAAAGATTAAGGGAATCATTAATATAAGAAAACGAACAGTATATATTTCGTATAGTCGTCTCTGAAGTCTCAACCTTTTTGAGTAACCCTGTATGATGACTTAAATGTCGTCCTCCTGGTCTACAGTTATGCAAGTTTCATTGAATAAGTTTATTCATGAAAAAGAGGTGTACCCCCCTAAGAAGAGCACAGGCAGGCGGCCATGAGCCACATGCACCACTATTTCCTCTTCCGGGCCACATAATAACTTTTTACTCTTCCGGCAGACATGAGCCACCACTATTTCCTCTTCCGTACCACCACATTTGATTCTTCCGGGTAAAACTACTTTTATGATATATTTAGGGCCATTAAAGTGTGATTTTCAAAAATCCAGCCACATCACGCAAAAAATATATTTAAATCTTTATATTAAAGTGATTCCTCTTAATGTAAACTGCAAAACTGTTTTTCTGAAAATCTAAATTCTGATTTTCATAAAAAAAATGGCTTATTTTTGAGAGCAATATGAATATTAACCATGACACACCATAAAATACACTTTAGTTTGGAAGGGTACCCTTGTGTGAAAATGTGCAATGTGTTAAGAGAAAATTGCTAAAAATTGTTTATTTTTTTTGATAAAATCTGTAACGCGTAAGTCATGACACTAAATATTGTGATTTTAATAATATTTTCTTATTCTTCAGACTACTCTGAACAATTTTTCAGACTACGAAAAATTACTTAGTTTACCCACAAAATCTAAAACAAACGACCTCTTTTTTAAATATTAATAGTTTATTCTTATGTAGAATTTAAAAAATGGTTTGAGTTGTGCTTTTTTTGCGTGACGCGGCTGGATTTTTAAAAATCACACTTTACAGGTCCTAAATGTACATGTAAATGGCTCATGGCTGCCGGAAGAGAAAAAAAGCTAATATTTGAATCGGAAGAGGAAATAGTCTTATATTCTACTGTCATAATTAGTTATTTTACACGTACATAATTAAAATTATGGCCAAAGAAAATAGAATATATTAAAGTGGAATTTACTCGAAAAAAGTGTAAAACGGCCATTTTGTTGTACTGTTTCCATACTGCAGGTTTACTTCATTTCAGAATAAGCTTCCATAAAAATAAATTTGATGTTTTTATTTAGTAAAAAACATAATTTTTAATTTGAGGTAATCAAACAGTAAAACCAATTGAATTTTAAATTCATAACTTTTATACAGTGGGATTCATAAAACTGTGAAATGGAAGGAAAACATTTCAATATAAGATGGGCACGAAGCGCCCTAAAAGCTTAAAACAATTATTTAAAACAAGATATTACTTGCAGTATACAAAAGAGTCTGAAGCAAAAAAGAGTAACAATTTTGTAGGTATTTACTTTTATTAAAATAATGATTTCAATTCACCTATAGCAAACACACACGTTTAAAGTTATTTAACAACTGTATAAAACAAAGAAATTGGAATTGTATTAGTGTGATGTACTGCGTAGAATTTGTGAACATTTACATGAATTGTACACTTTTAACTCCCTTTTAGGCTCAAAGTGACTGACAAAATTCATACCCAGGGTTTTTTTTAAATTTCACTATAATATATTCTATTCTCTTTGACTAAGGACAAAACAATTTTCATTCTTCGAATCGTCATATTTTACGAGTTTCAGACCTAGCTAGCGATGAATTAATTATTTGAACAATCTCAGTTTCAGGTCGTCTTTGAAGTCTATTCCAATTTATAGTTACCCCTCTATGTGCAAAATGTTGTCTCCGATAGAAGATTGGTTAGATATTAACGATTTAGACACGTGATAACTTCTTTTACCCAGCATTTTGTAATTCAAATCAAATCAGTCTTCTAGGGCCGTCCTAACTCCTACTTCCATACTTCAAATTCAAGATAACTTTACGAAATCAAATTGTTACTTTTGACGTTTTCTTTATTTTTTCCCCTTAAATATATTTAAAAATTAAAAGTAAAGAATAGAATTGTACTTTCAAAGAAACATTATACTTTTCTATACCGCCTATATTTAAAACGGACCAAATATACGTGTCTTAAAACTAATGTGAGCTAGAGGGTATTCCGCGAAACGTTACAATAAAAAGTAACCTCTTTATATATAGGATATGATTAAAATGCTTCATCTGAAAAAGTTTGTCAACAAATTATACCGTTTAAGTATTAAATATAAATGAAATTAGGTTCTTTTCTTTATCTTTCATCAAACAAAGAGGGAATTAAGTTTAATACATTAGTGGAAAGTCTTTTAATATATATTTTTCAGAAGAGTACTACGACAAAACTAGTTTTTAGTAACGGAATGTGCCATATCTTCATAACTTTAAGTTATGATTTGGGTGGCAGTACAAATTTTCCGACTTCTTGTCTACACAGAAACAAATATAACAGATAATTAAATTTTGACTGATCCTAGCCCTTATTTTTTTCAAATTCCTCAAAATTTACAAGAAGCATTGCGTCTTCCATATGTATGAATGCAATCCAAGTAACTTGTTTTTCAAATTAAAAATTATTTCGTAGGTTAACCTATCGTGATTGGAGTGCTAAAATGTTTGTCATAACCCCCCCCCCCCCTTTTCCTAAATCCTGAAAAGAAATGGTCTGTCAGTGAAGGGAATTTTATGAATTGAAATCTGAAAAAGTTGTGTGGAACATATGTTTGCTCTCCAATTCCATGATTAATATAATGTTTACACAAGAGTTCGGTCTAAATTTGATTCATATGAAGTAGGTTTAGGGTCCACCAATATATAGGGAGTCCAGGGTCCATAAAAATGTAGGGAGTCCAGAGTCCATCATATAGGTGCATACATATTTACTAGATTTAATTCCAAGTTAACAAAAGTTTTAGCTCAAAATTTGCAAAGATGCTTCAGCTTGATAATTCCTTTCTTTAAACACATTGTTAGCTTTACATGTCCAGAGGATCTAAAAAATATTATATTTTTTTCCCGGGTCGAGTAAGTATCTTTATGTGGTATTCCCGGGCCCGGCAAGAATTAATTATAAGATGAGTGGGTCCTCTATTTACTCAGCTACATCTTATATCCTTTTATCATATCAACTTTTTCATACTCGTCGGGATATGAACTAAAGTCGGGACCGGGAATTTTTTTCGGGATATTTACTGGAAATTTAGATTTTTGGTATCAATTTCAGGACGGGAGTTTTAAGTTCGGGATGGGAGTTTTTAAGTTTCGTAAATCATTTTCGGGACTAAAATTTTTAATTTTGGAAATTAATTTTAACTTTTTAAGTTTCAAGGCGAGGGTCTTTGTTTAGAGGTACTGACTTAATTTTATATTTCGAGATAGATTTTATACAGCCTTCATAGTTATTTTTTTTGGATATATATTTAATTCTAGTAATTCGACTTGAGAGATAAGGCTTCATTAGTATGTTTGATTATGGACACATGTTATGCAAATACTATGGAATTAGAATTAACTATATAATTGCCATTTAAATTCAGTAGAAGAAAATATTTGAGAGCAAAATATAAATTTTATTCATGTCGAGGCGAACCACAACCAAAATAAGGATTGTATTTTAGAATATGGAGATTTATGATAAAATGCTGATTCGCTAATTTTTTATTTCTTCGACTTTTATGAACTAATCTCTACATATGTCCGCCCATTCGGTCCAGCAGTTCGGCTAGCTATAGCTGACATATATATATATAATGGATCGTTAGCATTGAATCTCTACTATTCTAGGCTGTAGACTGGATAGAGAGAACAGAAACTGGTGGAACATTTGTCTCAGCATCTCATGNATTACAACAAATTCCCCCATTTTCTAGCTTGAAAAGTGATTCATTACAACAAATTCCCCCATTTTCTAGCTTGAAAAGTGATTCATTACAACAAAGTCCCCCATTTTTTAGCTTGAAAAGTGATTCATTGCAACAAATTCCCCCATTTTCAAGCTTGAAAAGTGATTCATTACAACAAATTCCCCCATTTTTTAGCTTGAAAAGTGATTCATTACAACAAATTCCCCCATTTTCTAGCTTGAAAAATGATTCATTACAACAAATTCCTCTATTTTCTAGCTTGAAAAGTGATTCATTACAACAAATTCCCCCATTTTCTAGCTTGAAAAGTGATTCATTAAAACAAATTCCCCCATTTTTTAGACCAAAGGTCACTTTTAAGAAAACCCAAAATTAAAATGAATCAAAATAAAAATGAGAAACGTGAACAGCTCATCAACTTAAAAAAACCTCTACAATACAAGTACTAAATACTTAATGTTGGAACATGTGCACAATATAATAATAGATCAAGGTTTCTCTTTCAAATTTTCCTCGGCAAATAATTTTCTTTATTGGATTCATGTGAAATTCATCAGTCGGACTCTGGTTTAGTTTACTTAACAGATTCGCTTGAGTTTAGATCCCTGAGGGCTCTAGGAACTAGAGGAACTAGGAGCAGGGTTAGATATTCTTCACAGGGGTTAAAACCTAGAGTTAACACCAGGGGATTAAGGATAAACAAAACCTAGGATTTTACTCAAAACTTCATGAATACATTCTTGATTCTTATTCATCCCTATTCATCCCTTTTCATCCTGGGTATATATGAAGAAGATTGAAATGAAAAGCTTCAGTTCTGAGTTCCATATCAACCATTCACATTTATGCATATATCAAGATTTAATAGTTCTTCAGCTGTCCTTATTGATACTTCTTGATAAAAAAATAGCTTACTAAGAATATTTTTGTAGAAAATAATGCTTCACTCCGAAATACCGATTACACCAGAAGAAGTCAATGGTAAAATTATGAATTTAATAAATAAGAAATTTAAAGAAATTTAATATTAAAAGTTTTATATAAAAAATGTACTATAGAAAGATTGCTGGCCGCAGCAAACCATTCTTCATACTTAAACAATCTGTGGGCTCATCCAACCCTCCCTCCCGTCAGCCCCGAGGTTATATTTAAACAAAAACTACGGTCTTAAAATAATCTGATATCTAATTAACATTTTTCAGGTGTTTTCCAACCTTCTCTCATGCCTTCACACTGGTCACATGACATTATCTCATTCTAACGTTTTTGAGGTTAGTTAATTTAGTCTTAAAATTAATACTTTCTTTTTTATAAGAAAACATTTGTTCTTGTTATTTCAAGGATTTAATATTAAGATATTCTGGTATGCTCAAGTGTTCCAATTCCCAACCGCAGTTCTTCAATGTCAACAATATATTCAAAATCACAGTAAATTTTTCCCACCCCCCTCCTTAACCCTTGGTCATTCTCCATCAGCCCTCTCATCCCTCCTCCAACCCCAGACCAAACCAATTCTGCAAACAAGACCAATTGAGTTAAGTCCTTCCACCCCATTGGATCCTCTCCACATTTTGAATCACAGGTAAAAAATAGTGACTGTTTAAACAACCAAAATAGAGTTCATTTAAAAATTGGCGTCAGTTGAAAACATGGCGTCTTTAACCCAACATGGCGTCATTAAAACAAAATTGCGACTATTTAAACAAAAACAGTGACCATTAAAAGCAAAATAGCTATACAATTCACACAAAATAGACAATTATACTTTTGATGTAAAGGAAGGATATTTTTCCCTATCCAGTACCTCAACCGTCGCAAGCCTGGAGCGCAAACAGTGCCAATTCAAGGTGAGTTAAGAATTAAAAAAAAATAAACTTTTGAATTTAAACCAATTATTTTTCTTAGAATTATTCGTCCGACACCAAGCCGCCTTCTGCCAATGTACAGCCGACTGACTGATACTACAGTCCATGGACTACAAAACCATTTGAATCTTTCAGTCCAAGATGAAGTCCATGGACTTTCTTGTCTTCCTGTCACAATCAGTCAACAGATGGCAAAACCAATGGTAAACAGTATAATTGATATTTTTAAATATATCACTTTTAAAAAATCATCTAAATATGTGTATATTTACAGGAAATCACTGAACCTCAGAAAGCAGGTGATCTTTTATTTATTTATAATTGGTTGATTTGTATCCAATAAACATCATTACAGCTAGACCGACAAGGTTCCAATTTTTTAGTGATTGCGTAGAAAACGTTGATATTTTTTTTTGAAAACAAAACAAAAATCCGTGAAATGTAAAAGGAAAAAAGAGCGGTTTAAAAACAACTAATAAAAGCTGAAAGGGGCACGAAGCGACCTGAATGACTTGTATTCTAAATATTTCCCTAATTTAGATTCTAGTACTGAGAATGAGAATAAACCCCTGGCGTCTGTCGAGAAACCATTGGCAAGAGAAAAAAGTAAATATATATACAGTAAATATTGTTAATATATATTCAATATCTGCACACAATAGATATTACTTTCTACAAAACTTATTTTTACCCGTTTGAAATGAATCCCGTCAATTTACAAACATGAACCCTGTGGTTGATACAGAAAACCAATAGTATCGACCAACTGCGGAAATAATCCTACAACCCCTTTAAAAAGTTGGCACCCTTCAAACTTAACCAAATATTCTAGGTTTATCAAATATTGTGGAAACAGAAGGGAATATTATGTCTGAACAGAATGCAGGAACTGGTTACAAAAAAATACCTTTTTTTGTATTAATTCAACCGAATACAACTTATAAAACCCATTTTGTTGTTTAAAAATTCTACAAGCTTGTAACCAGTGCCGACTCCTAGCTGCCTGCGATGGGCCAGTCAAATTCCACAGGATTTTTAACCAGTTCTTTAACATAGAGCAAAATCAGAACACACGAGGTAGGAATCAAAGAAACTGTAGAGGGGCATCCACGATTCACAAATTAACCTTTTTAACATTGAAAATTTTCAATTGAAAATACCGGATTTCGTCACATTTTCAGATATAAAAACAAGGATATCTATTTTTATGCTCAGCGAAAGTTTTACAGGGTACCGATGTGAATCGGGTATAGTCTTAAAAGAGTTCACGATCATCAAACAAATAATTTAAGCTTTTTTTTAGATAAAACCCAAGAGGAAGAAATTTCAGTTGATGATCAAGAAAATGAAACCGGTAGCAATTAATTTGTTTAAGGAAGAAAAAATATAAATTTTTAAAACATAATTTGTAGGAGAAACTTATACGTGTGTGTTCTGCAACCACGTGTTCAAATCCCATTATTGTTATCAGAAACACAAGGAAACCATACTTTCTTCAAAATATTAAATTCAGACTATGATAATAACATAATAAGATAAAAATAACCCATATTTACGAAATCTTGTATATTATGCAGTTAAATGAATGGTTTCTGATGCAGAGAAGACATATTAATCCAGTTTATGAAGAACTACAGGAAAAAGAGATTACTTCAAACCTATCCGGTAAATATATAAAATCAAGCATACCCAATGTTACCCAGAATTATAACTTTTAATTTAATTATAATAACTTTTTAAAAACTTCAGAATTTAAAAATAAATATTTTCTTCTAGTTCTTAAGGACACGAATGTACAGTACTACCCATGTAAGCAGTGCGGGGCCAAGTTCCCTTCCTACTACTTTGTTCATAAACACAAGAAAATGTGGCACACCACAGGTGCAGTACACTGAAATAATAGAGCAGTACGCTTACACAATAGTGCAGTACACTTATAAACTACTGAAGTACACTTACAAACTACAACTTATACTTATACTTACCCAACTAATGTAATACACAAACCAAAACTATTATCAGTAAACAAAAATGATTTTCTAATTGTTATTTTAATTTTAGAGAACGCATCAGATCATAGCTCAGAAGACGACCAAACAACATTTCAACAACCTGGAACCTCTAAACAATGATATTGGAACCTGGAACCTCTGAACAATAATATTGGAACCTGGAACTTCTCAACAATAATATTGGAACCTGGAACCTCTAAACAATAATACTGGAACCTGGAACTTCTAAACAATAATATTGGAACCTGGAACTTCTAAACAATAATATTGGAACCTGGAACTTCTAAACAATAATATTTGAACCTGGAACCTCTAAGCAATAATATTGGAACCTGGAACCTCTGAACAATAATATTGGAACCTGGAACCTCTAAACAATAATATTGGAACCTGGAACCTCTAAACAATAATATTGGAACCTCTAACAGTAGTTTTGGAACCTTAATTTCGATTCTGGATTCTGGAAATCTCAAGCAATAATCTTTGAACCTTCGTAAAATCGGCGAAATGGAACAATCTTTCAATAATTTTATTTGAACCTTGGAACGATTTTTAGAACCGCTATTAGAAATCCTGGAACCTTTTAAGATGAGAAAAAAACTGAATTCAAGAAACCTAGAACCAGAACTAAAACAGTACAAATCTAGAACCTGTAGAAAACCTAAATACTTAATCCTAAAAATCATTAGTAGAAATAAAGAAGAAATTTTTGTATTCTCTGAAATTATTTTCAGGCTAGATTAGATTTTAAAAATAATCTGCTTCGTTTGTTTCTTTTCCCCTGGATTTAAACTATTCCCCCACTTAACAAATCCATGAAATTTGCTGAGCTCGCAGAAAGTTGTAAAAGTTTGTGAAATGACGTCAAATATTTAAGGATTCAAGGATCGGCAGTTAATGCATAATTAAATAATATCGATGTTAGAAATGTTAAAAAAATATGTTATTATCAATTTTTCTTGAACAGAGCTTGAAACAATTTAAGCGGAATTTGTTATTTTTCATGAAAAATAAGAAAATTAAATTCCCTGATAAATAAAACCCGGAGGGTTGTAGTGTAGTGTGAAGAGAAAATTGAAAATCATGTTGTCATCCTCTGTGCAAAAATAAACGAGTCATCGTTGCGTACTTTTATATACAAGTATACGCACTTTTAAAGGATAGTCAAAGTTAGACCCAGTTTTAACCAGATTCTAGTTCTTATCAATTAGTATTCTTCCCAGTGGAGTGGTATGACTTTACTAGTACAGGGTCACCCACAAAGGATGAGGTTTTAGAGGGGCATGTACGGAATTTGTAGTGTTTGTTTTCTTATATTTATGAATCTCTGAAACTTTCAACTTATTTCTTTCTTTTCCAAATTAAAAGATTATTTTCCAATGCTTAATATATTCAAGGGATCTATGTGAGTTTTAGGCCGTCTTTACAGTCTCATTCGTTGGGGGTAACCCTGTAATTTTATAACGAAAATAAAATCTCTGTGTCCGACATCAGTTTAAGATGACTGTTTCGTGACAAAAATCCCCATTACCCTCTTCTATATTAATCAAGAATATTTTCTTTTAAGCAAAATTCAACAAAGATATTTTGGACAAGTACACTTTAACTAATTATATAATAAAGGGTATTAATATATAATAAGGTAGGTAATGTTTACTTAATAAAAACATCATATAGTTAGATCAAACAACTATTATACCAAATCTAATAAAAACATCATATAGTTAGATCAAACAACTATTATACCAAATCTAATAAAAACATCATATAGTTAGATCAAACAACTATTACACCAAATCTAATGTTCTTTTTAGATAAGATGGGTCCCACTGCATAAATTAATCAGGGGGATGAAAAATTTAACATCAAAAGGCGAGTTTTTTTCATCTTTTTGATACTTTTTCCCTAAAAATATATTTTTCCAATAGACCGAAAACCAAACAAAAAAATCAGACAGGAGGGAAAAAGGTTTTTCAAGGAATATTACACCCCTGGTGTAGTTTAAGTTGACTAACCTGATTGAACCGTATCCTCGTCATCCGAGGATTCATCAACCTTCTTCTCTCTTCCACCTTTACGTCCTTTTCCTCCGTCCTTCTCACTAAACAAATGAAAAAATAATCAAAATTTTGCTAAAATAAAATCATGAAAATTTAAAGATTTCGATTTTTTAAAATACTTAGTAACGTTCTGCGCTTTGTCCAAATTCAGTTTTAAGTTTTCTTAGTCAAGAATTTTTTTCTAAGGGACAAAAATGAAGTGATTTTTACAGAAGATAATTTTTAAAAAAATGCATCTGACAGAAATAATTTTTTCTAAAATTAAACTTGAAAAAAACAAAGCACTCAAATTTTTTATTAGGTTTACTTAGGACTGAACTTTAGAGAAAATGAAAAATAAAATTCTCAACTTTCCATTTTTGGAATAATTAAAACTCAGAACCTTCTTTAAAAAAAAAAATTTTCCTATTACCTTAAATTCTCTTCTACCAAGTCCTTATCCAGTTTACTAGAGGGTTGGGGAGTATTAGATCTACTGTTCACTTTTCCATCTCCATCCTTCTCCTGGACAAAATTAATCGTAAAAAATACAAGAAAAAAATATGAGAAGGTTTAACCACCTTTCGCCAATATTTATTAGAAGAATATAAATATTTCAGAATTTAATGAAAAAATAGGCTTTGCTTATTTTTCCCGTGACAATTTTTAGGTTTAAATGCTGCTTTAAAAGTCGCCATTCTATCTTCGTACATTATGCTTCTAAGAATTTTGCAGATTTATCTATGAACACAAAAAATATTAATATATTTTGTTGACAAAAATGTTAAATTTCGGCCGGCTGAAGTTACATAAATATCCACAAAAAATTGAGCTTGTGGGTTTTACTACTTTATATAGATATGATTACCTGTAATCCTTGTACTGTACGGCGGGTGACAACGCCAGGAACGTTGGGTGCGATAACTTCGCCGGTGGGATTGTTGGGGCGCCGGGTTCTGGTTCCGCCTTTCGTTCTTGACTTACGCAACAGCTGTTTATAGTTTTCCGTCTTCTTTGAGAGATAGTAGTACTGTACACAGTCCGGGACGGACTTACGCTCCAGGTACTGCGCAATCACGAAGAAGTTCTTTGGATGCTGCAAGTACTTTTCCCTTAACAAAATATTATTAGTTTTTGTGTAACCTTTTTATTTTACACGGGTTACGCAAATTGAGATTTTGCTACTGGGAGCTTTAATTATACTCCTTAATAACAAGTCTGGTTAGCTGGTATTAAGTATCCAAACTCGTAGGAAAGACGTTAATTCTTTCGATTGAATCTGGATCTAGTGTTAGCATCAAGGGAGCTCAGAACAGTCAGGTTCTTATACAACTCTCTCCAGTTTCTTGTGGCTGAACAGAACCCTGTGTGGAATAACATGACAGTACACCCTACTTGTCTTTAATTTAATTGTTAGTGATTGAGATTAATAGTTAATGATATTGAGAAAAAAAAACGATAATTCAAAATTAGAGGGGTCTCTGATGAAACCTGTAAAAATGGATCCGGATATGTTTTAGCTTAAAAATGTTTATTAACGAATTTCGTTTAAATCAAATATTTTCTTCTTTTCAATTTTTGTTGTTGTTAAAACTCTATTTTCTATTGGAAGATCAGGGTTTTACAAATCATTTGCAAGTTTTTTTTTAAATCTTTTGAATTAAATTCGCGATTTTATCACAAATCCGTGATTTTACATAAATTTTGCGCTGTATCTAAAACACAGCTAAAAATCCGCCAAATATGAGCGGTGAGAATTGGCAATAGTAAAAACGGAATGATTGTCGTCTTCGAGCACGTTCTTTGAATGCTGCAATGATTTAGTATTTATAACTGGCTATAACTATATATTTTGGACACAAAGGAACTAAAAATGATATATTCGCCAGTCATTTTCCTGTTCATTTGCCAACCCTGTATTTTCTCTATTTTCTTTGTGCTGGAGTATAGTGTAAACTGATCCCTCTAGTGGAACCACTTTACAACTAATAGAATCAAATACTCAAACATGAATACTCTTTAGTACTTTACCCAGGCTCAAGTACTTCTGGTTAAAACAGATTAAACAAACTTCACTTTCTAAATATATTTTAATTGGGAGAGATTTTTTTCATCCCCCCCCCACACACACATTTAACCGAATAACAGTATTGTTTAAAGGGATGTCCACGTAATGTCAAGCAGTCCTTAATTTATGAAGTTAAATGCACATTGTGACATGTTCAGTGTTCACTTTTAACCTTTTTCTGATTTATGATGAGAAAGATATTGTTGATTTTGTGTATTTCCTGTTATATTTTAACAATTAACATCCTTGTTTCTGCAGAAGACAAATTTGAAGAAAAATAAAGAAAATGTTGAAACACTTTTAAGAATTACAAACCTGAAGGTTTCTTTTTCTGCGTCCGTCCACATATTGACGAACTTCCGTTCGCTGTAGATTAGCATTGGGTCCGGTATATGACCGTTGTTGTTGGTAAACTTTCGCCGGCGGTCCTCCGGCGGTAGCAAGGGTGGCGGTATGACGGCGTAGGAATGCATTTTCTTCTCTTCCATCTTGAAAATATTAAAAATTTAGAAAATCTTAAATATTTAGAAAATCATTTAAGAAGAAAAACTTCTTAAAAGCTTTGAAGTTTTAATTTCAGAGAAATATTTTCTCAAAAAAAACTTTTACTCCAAAGATTTTCGATCAAAATAATACAACACTTGAAATTTTTCTTTTTCTGTTTTGCAGGTAAAATTATATAAAAAAACTTAAAATCTTATCTCTTGAGAAAGTATTTAAAGTAAAAGTTTAGAAATCTTTTCCTTTCAAAAATGTTTTTGTTCTTATAACGATTCATGGAAGAAATTAACTAAATTTTTTTTTAATTTCCACAATGGATAGCTTTTCTTATAATATCCCGTTCTGTTCAAAAACGATTAAGAATAAATCGTTCCATTTAAAGATTTATCCAATTCCACTAATGGATATACCGTTCCATTTAAGGATATACCGTTCCATTGAAGGATATATTGTTCCATTAAAGAATATCTTGATCCGTTAATACTATTCCTACCTCATGTTCCTGTATTCTATCAATAACATCCTGGAACTCCTGATCAGAACGAACTGTTCCTCGAGTTCCCAATCGTTCATTCCGTTCCTAGAAAATAAAATATTGTTAGATCTTCATTCATATTATTTCATCATATCTACTAAATTTAGAAGATTTTTAAGAATTGTTTATTGTTTATTTTTCAACGAGTCAGGTTTCTTTCCTGTAACACAGAGTGACTTGTAACTACAGTCGATGTACTTTAAACAGGTGAATAAATTTTTTTTGAACTTTAAACAGCTGTTGCCTTAAACAAATTTTAATATAATGTAGACGTACAGATCTTGTAATTGTACCGTAGACAGCTGTTTTTAGTCAACAACTGTTATCGCACTGTAAACAGCTATCATTGGACTGTTAATACATGTTATTGCTGTACAGAATACAATTGTCATTGTACTGTAAATTGATGTCATTGTACTTCAAATAGTTGTTTTGTACTTAAAAAAGGTGTTCTGTTTTGTTCAGTACACATCTGATTTTTCCTTAACAATATTATATCATGAATGACAACGGAAAATATACAGTGTGCACATTGTAGATAAAAAAATATCAAATATATGATTTTACTTGTTTTATAATCTTACTTAAGAGAGATTATCGGCGGAATTTTAACATTAAGAATTTTTATTTCTTTGTGAACTGTCATCAATTACCAATGATAACCTTCGAACCAAAACATGGCAAAACTTTAGTAAACCTTCTTTTCTGAAGAAACCCAAAAGCAAAGATTTTAAAATAGAAGACAGAAAAGCGCATTTGTTTCAATAATCTTTAAATAGTTAGTTATGGTCCGCCGGCTTACAAAAATACCTGACAGTCCCTTTAAGATAGTGCACAGTGTACTGCAATAAATTATGTACCTTATCTTCACGTTGCTTCCTAAGCTCTGGGAACATTTTCTCATACATTTCTCTACTCTTTCCTTCTCTCTCCTTCTTCTTTTTACTATTTTCGGCTCTATCAACCTTCTTCGTCCATACACTCGTCAGCTTGCAGTACGTTACTGTCATGTACCTAAACATTGAAACTTTGTAAATTCGCAATAAAAATTCAAATAAATTTCTTCAAAATAAATTTCAACGTACAAGCTTATGACAGTTGTATACATTGAAATTAAACTCTTAGAGAAAAGGGAAATATACACAAACATTCGATAATTCTAACATGGGTGAAAATGGTTTAAATTGTTGTGTCATAAAAAAACGTTAAACCGTGCAATTTATTCTTAAGTTTACTGAGAACAAAAAGACGAAAAAAGAGTTTATTTTATCAAAAAATGTTTCCTCCAAAACTATAAAAATCAGATCATAAATAATATGTCAGATTCATAAAAATAGAGCATATTTGTCAAAATTATTTTCCATGAATACGCTTGAAAATCTGTTAAATATGATAAATCCAGCAAAATATTACAATTTGAGATGTACTTTCATATACAATACGACCGGTTCCTAAAATAATTGAATTAAAATTTTGCCAAATTTACGTTCACACACAAATCTTTTTTATCTTCATTTTTTTCAATTAACAAATAATGCAGGAAATGCTTTAATATTGTATCAGTTATTATTTTTCTCGAATAAATAGAAGTGTTTTTCGTTACTTTTGTTATCAACATTTTAGGCTGGAAAAACAAGTTGTTTTTAAGCTAAATAGATAGTTTTCTTCAATACAAGTATAATTTGACAGTTTAAACCCTATAATGCATATTAAAACAGAACTATTCCTCAGATAGGGAGAACTCAGTAAATATAGAAGTAGGAAGACGAGATTAAGAACGAAAGGCATTAATATACAATACACAAAACAGTTTTAATGCTGCACTGCTGGATAATTTGACATTTCGAAAGACAGTTTTGGAGCTACAGCTTATTAAGTTAAACAACGTTCAGGGTGGCCAAAACTTTTTTGAACACATCCGTACAAAAATCCGTACATTTTCAGAAGAAATCCGTACAATCCGTACAATTTTCGAAAAACAATCCGTACAATCCGTACAATTTTTTTTTTTAAAAATCCGTACAATCCGTACATTTTTTTAAACCAATCCGTACATTTTTTTAAAAATCCGTACATTTTTTTAAAAAATCTGTACAATCAGTACAATTTTCGAAAAAAATCCCATTTTTGAAAAAAAAACA